AGCCGTGGATGGAGGTGATTTCCAGGGACTCGGGTGTGGGTGGATATGGACTTGGGGCTGCAGCAGGGCGTGGTCCACGTCAAGCTATGCACAAATCCTGCTCCTGCCTGAGCTCTGGTCAGTCCCTCCCTCCCAGACGCCGGGCAGGGCCATCCCCAGCGGTGGGAGAACTAAGCCAGCTCCCTCCGGCGGGGGCCTCCTATGCCCCTCATTCAAGAGTGCAGGGGCCATTCAGCCAGAAGTTCTTAAGGGGAAGGTTGCAAGCCAGGCATAGGGGCTCGGGCCTCTAATAATTGTAGGGTTGAGAGTCCGAGCCAGCTCAGACAAACCCACAACAAAATGAGCAGACAAAATCAGCTCAATACTCTACATCTCAACTAATGGCTGTGTGAGGTGTGGTCAATGTCGATCAAATGGGAGGGTGACAGTCCAGCCCAGCCTGAACATAAAGCAAAGCGTCTCCCCCAAACAGCCTGTGCCCTGAAGGGCAGGCAGGGCCGCTCACGCTGTGCAGCACCTGCCCAGATGGTACCAAGTCCCACGTTTGGCCACAGCGCCGCCAGGACAAACAGATGGACGTCTGAATAGAAGAATTGTAGGCCTTTCTGCTTCCAGAGCCTGTTGTGCAGGGAGGACTCCAGGGCTTCCAGATGCTTCACCCGGAAGCATGGTCAACCTGACAGTAATGGCTGCTAGAATAGTAACCTGGACACCAGGCCTCGGCAGCAAGAACAAAACTGAAGACAAGAGATAAACAAGATGGGGACTGGGAGCCAGGCCCGTGAAAATTCTTTAAAAAAAAATAAAACTTGACCCAGTTAGATTTGGTAAGTTGTAGAGGTGTTCATAAACAGCGTGCATGGGGGGCCGGGAAGCCCGGAGGAGAGACAGTCCACAGGTATTTTATGAACAGCTAGAAGAGGATCTAGAGGTAATGGTGGGAAGGTGGGACTGCCGGCTACCTGATTTGAACAGCGCATGCCGCCGTGCGCGTGCGTGTGTGTGTGTGTGTGTGTGTGTGTGTGTGTGTGTATGGAGATCTCCTGGGGGTCCGCTGGGGATGCTGCTCAGATTGTGACTGCTGACATCTTGTGTGCGAGGCCCTGTGCTCAACTTCAGGGCTGCCACAAAAATCGTGCTTGAGTCTACGTCAACTCCCGACGAGCATCAGGTATAAAGGGAATTCCTTGCATCTGAGCATGGTGGGGGGCCTACTCTGTCCCCCGAGACCAGCCTGCCTCCCACAGTGCCTGCCACATCTGGCCAAGACAGAGGCTGTGCAGACTGGCTGGTTTGAACCCAGCATCAAGCTTTATTTTTTTTTTAATATTATTGGAGCCAGGAACCAGTGGCTCACGCCTGTCATCCTAGCTACTCAGAGGGCTGAGATCTGAGGATCACAATTCAAAGCCAGCCCAGGTAGGAAAGTCCATGAGACTCTTATCTCCAATAAACCACCAGAAAACCAGAAGTGGTGCTGTGGCTCAAATGGTAGTGGGCTAGCCTTGAGCTGAAGAGCTGAGGGACAGTGCCCAGCCCCTGAGTTCAAGCCCCACAACTGACATGTGTGTGTGTAAATACATACGCATGCATGCATGTATGTATTATTGGTGGTTTTCCCTTTTGTAATGACTTGAGTCTCAGGAAAATTAGTGTGTCTCTGCTTATCTGGTGGATGTTCAGTTGGACGGGCCTGTCTCAGGCGGAACACATCAGCAAGACAACGATCTGCCTGCAACGTCTCGAAGTGTGTTACCTGACAGGCTTGAGCCATTGTCTGTAATCCTCTTAAAGTCATCTTTGAAACATGGAATGTCAAAAGTGGAAGCTCACAAATGTACTTCCCAAACTTAAAAGAAGTCACAGACCCTTACCTGTGGCTTTGCGGTCAGAGACCCGCCAGCCCCCGGCCTGTTCTGGTTGCCCGTGTTCTGGCCATGAGGATGGTGCCCGTGCCCGTGACAGGTCTGGAGTGTGGCGAGGGCTCGTGCTCTGTGTGCACGGTGCACAGATGACGCTAAAATAAACTCACACCAAAAATAGAAATCTAAAATTAAATATTTAATTAGAACTCTGGTTTGCTTTAAAGATAGGTGGCATTGCACAGGCTATATTACACTCTTTATAATTTTTTTTTGACAAAAAAGATACTGTTCATTTTAACAGGCCACTTTAATATGAATACAGGTTGTCATAGAATTGGAACTGAAAATCCGCTAGAGATGGTACATTTTACATTATTGGGAAAATTACAGTTTTGTATTGTAAAAACATTTATTTTTTTTAACAATTTACCTACATTAATCAAAAAATTACATCATATTTAATAATTTTACAAATTCTTCATAAAAAATATATCTCTGTACAAAAAGGTCTTTGCACCTACATGGCAAGAGCAGCGTGAGGACAGAGGCGGTGGCGGTGGCGGTCCTGATCACAATGTCAGCTTTCTTCCCCCTTATAACAGCGTTTCTGTTGTTGTTTACAAAATATGTTACACAGAAAAAAAATTATTGCAGCTAGCCTGAAGAAAGGCAAGATGTGAGAGAAGCGGCGGTGTACTCAGCCGAAGCACAGGCCGGGTGAAGCAGAGGCCACCTGCTGGGGATGGGGCCAGCACGTTTCTAACAGCCTGCCCTGGCCCACCCCGCCCCGCCCTGCCCGGGCCTGGTCAGCCCTGTCCTCAGTGGCAGCCTGGGAGCTGTGGTAGAACTCAGTCCATACCCTGGGAAGAAACCAGGCAGGATTCTCACTGAACCCTGAGAACTCTGCTGTTTTGTTACTGGCTTTCAATCACATGCTCCAAACTGTCACTCACTGGGACAGTTTGCACTCAGAGGGGAGAACACTGGTCTGATATGTAGATTCTTGTGTGTGTGTGTGTGTGTGTGTGTGTGTCCTGTCTCCCAGGACTTCAGAAGGTCACTGACTGACCAGCAAGCAGGCCAGGGACGGGGGAGAGACATTAATTCAGAGTCTGAAGTCAGCATTTTGCACCTAGTTTGAACAACTCAAACTTAGATATGTACACTATATAAGTATATATATGTATATATATACACCTAATATACATACATGATAACCCTGCTCTCCCTTGCACACAGCATTCCTCAGGCCTTCTGACATTTTCCACTTCTTCCAGCTCAGGACATGGCTGCGGCCAGCCCTGTGTCACACAATCAGAGCAGCCAAAGGGCGCTGGCTGGGCACGTGGCTCTCGGAGATATGTCAGCTGGACAGGAAGGGGAACACATGCTGAGGGCTCAGCGTGGCGATGTGCGGTCCACCGCGTGGGCCGGAGAGGACACGGCCTGCCTGGAGGAGGCTGGGAGCCGAGATGGGAGAAGAATCAGGCAAGAGGCCCCCGGGACGCGCCAGCCGCGGCCACTGCGCTGACGTGACCTTCCCTTGCTCCCAGCGGAAATCCCTGCGTTCAAACAGTCCATAAACAGACAAAATAGTCATTCTTAAAGCTAGGGGCGTGCGCGCTCACCACGGCCCAGGGAAGGCAGCCACAGCCTGGCGTCTCGGCTGGAGCCCACAGTGTGCTCAGGGCGGTGCCAGCGCGAGGGCATGTTGGACACATCAAATAACAAAATAAGTGCTATCTTTTCAAAAATACTTTTATCAAACAGGTATAAACAAGAATAAACATGATCTTCCCTTGGACTGTGTTACGAGCGCGCCCGTGGTCCTCCCCTCCTCTGTCCACAGTGTTGTCCTTTCCACAGTGGGGCCTGACCCCGTGTGTGCAGCCCGCCACAGACAGGCTGCCCAGGGGGAACCGGACGCCTACAAAAATCACCAGAATGGTCTTTCTGCCTGGCATCCTGCTGTGGGACGAAGGGAGAGTAACATAGCAAATGGACGGTGGTGTGGGGTGAGCACCCTCCCCCGCTGGCAGGGGCGTGCTCAGAGTCCTGGCGCCGCCGCAGGCGCCGTTTCTGAGGGGTGTGATGGGAAATGGGGACCGCCCGCACCAGGAAGACCAGGGGGGCTGACTGACACCCGCAGGTTCTGGGCTATCTAAAATAAATTACTATTCACATCTGTACATGGCAAATGGAGGTTGCTGCGGCCCCTGCTATTCAGAAGTGAGGGAGAGACCACAGACAGCCACAGGGGAGGAAAACATGGGAAATAAAAGGCCTCTTGTGTGTCATCGGACTTCAGCAATGAATTCAACATGGAAATGTGGCCCACAGAGCCATAATAAAATAAATCCCTTCCGTATTGTGTTTCTTTGTAGCATCTGTGCCATGTCTAGGGTTCTCTCCTTAGCTTCCAGCTGAGGTGGTGGTGGGACATTTCTCTCAGTGGTGTGGAAGATGTTTATATACAATGCGTAGTGTGGTGAAACCCTGTGTAAATTGTTCATTTGTGATCAGAATCTTAGCCATTCAAAACACACTAGTGCAAAAAATTGTGCGTTGAAAATTCTGCAAGACAAGAGCTGACCGTGAGATCTTCTGATGTTTCTCCAGGTGGACACTGGGGTCCTCAATGCTCCTCGGGTCTCAGGAGAGACAGAGCCACGCGTGTGCAGGTGTGTGTACAGATCGTGGCGGTGTCTTCTTCAGGAGAGCCTTTTCTTTACTGTGCATTCATGCCCGTGGGGGTTGAAGGGAAACAAAAACACAGACTGAGCTGCTACCATTTTGTCACCGCATGAGGAGGACATACGCACTGCCCAGAGACGACACGGAAGGCATCCGGCCACACAGGGGGTGGGGAGTCCGCGGCCTGAGCCCGCCGTGTCTGCGGGACGCGGCCTCCTTCCCTGTGTGTGCCTCGCTTTCAGGGGAGGCAGCTAGGCATTTGGAAACCGCTTTGGTGATGGAGATGCGTCTGCATGGAGCTTCCTGCTGCACGTCTGCCGAGATGAGGGTGGAGATGGCTGCACAAAGCAAGAGCGGAGGGGGTGGTCTATGGCACCAGAGGAATTACTGCTTGTCCATCAGAGGTATGGCTATGAATCAGTCCCAGTGGGGTGCTGAGGGCTATACCACTGTACACACTGTGTTCAGAGTCGTGTCAAACCTCACAGCCTTGGCCTCTGTGGGTTTTAAGTTTGTATCATACATGGGGTTTTCAAAGGAAGCTTGTCCATTGCTGCTCTCATGTCCAGCATACCCATTGTACTGGACTTTTGGTCTTGTTCTAAAAGGAAGAGAGGGAGTGCAGTTAGACACCGGGACTCTGTGGGAGAGGCATGGCGGCCAGACCAGCAGTGGGACAGGACACTCCAGGAGCAGGACCTGCCCTGCAGGAGCACCTGTGAGGGTCACCGCTGGCTGTGGCTGGAATTATGCATAGAACTTAGACAAAGGGGAACTATTTCCCAGATCAAATAATTGTCCCTGTGAAGAGTGAGTCTTCAAATCTCCCAAGAAATTGAGATGCTCTCAAAGTCTGGAGTAAGTGGACTTTGATTTGAACATCAACTCTCTATGCTCCATCATACAGCACTGGTGAAGTCACTGAACCTTAGGGTGCTGCACATAATGGCCCCGGGGTGGTTCATCTACACTATGATAGAAACTGGGTTGAGAGTCATCCGGTAGTACCATCACCAAATCGTAGTTATTTTTCTAATGTTATTCAATCTCTGGTAAATTAAAAACAAATCTTTATAGAAATCTTTATATGAAATACTTATCATTGAAGCATTTTATGTTTTGTGATTAAATATAATCATACTATATATTATATATAATCCATGTATAAAGTATTAGAAGGTTTTGTTTTGATGCCAAAATCTAAATGTATCTATCTGTTCAGGCTCTTTTTTCTCCCTTATTAGAGACAAGTAAAGAAAAAAGACAAGGATGGTAAAATAGAATGGCGCTGTGGACAACCACAATGAAGCAAAAACTTCATTGATCCAGGATGAGTTAGAATGGCCACCCTCAAGAATACAAACAGTAACAGATGCTGGCATGGATGTGGGCAAAAAAGAACCCCCACTACACTGCTGGGGGAAATGTAAGCTTGTTCAGCCACCCTGGGAAGCAGTATGGAGGTTCCACAAAAATGCTAAACATAGAGCTCCCCTATGACCTAGCAATCCCACTCCTGGGCATTTACATAAATGACCACAAACAAGGCCACACTAAAGCTACCACCACAACCATGTTCACTGCAGCACTATTTACCACAGCGAAGATATAGAATCAGCCCAGATGCCCCTCAATGGGCAAATGGATCAAGAAAATGTGGCGCGCGCACACACACACACACACACACACACACACACACAAGAATTTGACTCATCTATTAGATTTAAAAAATCTAAAAAAGGATGGATTTGGAAAAAATCATGCTTAGTGAAGTCAGGCCCAAAGAGACAAAGAACAAATGCTTTCTGTCATGTGTGGAAGCAAGAACTACTTTATGAGTGTTGTAGTAAACACTTCTGGGCTGTGCAAGTGTATACAGATGTATCAACCAAAATTTGTTATTTTTAGGCAAGAATTCAAATGGTGTAATTTCTTAGGAAGGCTAACTCACAGTTCAGTAAAAGGAACTCCGAGAAACAGATACTGGAAAGGCTAGGTATAGAATCAAGGGGAGAGGAGTAGATGAATAAAGACAGTAAGGGAGGAAGAATGCAGTCATAAAATGTACACCCTACAAAATTAAAAAAATTGGGGGTTGGGAGGGCTGGGGGAGAATAATGGAAGGGGTGATATTGATCAATGTGCACTATATTCATAAACTGTTTGTTGAATGGTAACTCTTTGTACAACCACTTAAAGATAATTTTTTAAAACCATAAAAATAAAAGCTAGGTTGGTGGCTCATGCTTGCAATCTTAGCTACGCAGGAGGAGTTTCAAAGCTAGCCTGGGCAGGGAAGTCTGTGAGATTCTTAGTTCTAGTTACCCACCCCACCCTCTAAAAGCTATAAGTGGAGCTATGGCTCAATTAGTAGAGTACATCTTGAACAGACCCCTGGCCCTATGTTCTAGCCCCGAGACCTGGATAAACCCACAAAAAAGTATATCATAACACTTATGTTGTTTTTGTAGCCAAGACTAAGTGGATATAGGTGCATTATATGAAATCATTCAACGTATTTAATACATTTTAAGCTTACTTCAGAGTAGCATAACTTTTGTAATTTGTATAATATCCCGAACTGTACTTTAGGTCAATTTGACATATGAAAAATCCATCCAACTAATATATCACACATATATAGATGTACATGGATTTTATAATTCCTCTACAACCCCTTAAACACATTTGTATCCACATCACCCCAAAGGCAGTGAATGGATCCATTAAAGCTGCTTTCTCCATGTTTTGACACTTACCCATTAAGAAGGATTTGCAAATTAGTGGATATCTGGGGAACCTTTATAAGGTGGGAGCATATATTATTGTTGAATGCATGGAATCAGTAAAAAAAAAGTATACGTTTTAGGTTTGCTTTGCCCAGGTCATGGAGACTATTCTGTTGATAGAGTGGACATTCTCTTGATGTTCTAGTTGCTGAATGGCAAAGCATGCTAGATTTTAGCTTGATCATTAATTTCATTAAAGCTAACTATTCCCATGTGTCCTATAAACAAGGTAAAATCAATTCAAAGAAAAACAAAAACAGCATCACCAACAGCGAAACACGAGGTATAGACGTATTCTCATAAAAGAACACAAGTATCCTTATGTCCCAAGAGAGTCATCACATACTGACGGACATCACATGCACACGAGTGGATGCACACCAGCAGTTCACACTCAGAAAACGTTCACACTTCTTCCTGCGGTACCTGTGTTTGTAGAGGTAAAATGCGAACCCTGATAAAATTAGAGCAAAGAACGGGACCAGAATGGCAGCCGCCACAGAGCCACCGCTGGTGCCGTGGTAACGACTCGAAGAATCTGGATCAGAGTTGGAGGGATCTGAAAGAAAAGGGGAAAATTTTAATTTGCAGCTCCTGCACTGGCCGTGAACCTACCTCCAGGTATTTCACCCACAGGGACCCAGCTAGTAGGCTTTCCTGAAGACTTCCAGGAACAGATCCTGCCTCCCCTAATTAACTCAGTGGTAGCATGGCGTAGGCAAGAGTCCCACATTTCAAATGCCAGGAGGAGGCATCCTGACTTTTGGTTTCAGCTATAAGGATCTGTATTTGTGCAAAAGCTAGCAGAAAGCATGTATACATGGTTTTCCACGTTCCGAGGATTGCTCCTCACTTGTCCGTAAAGTTATACAAACTTCCCAGAGCTGTGGAGAGATGTATGGCATCCTGGTTTACCAAGGTAGCATGCACCAGAGTCAGTGCCGGCGGGTGCAAGGTGCACAGGGGAGGTGGGCCGCGGGCTCCCGTCAGCGTGGGGGCCGGGG